AATGGATCCCASTGRGAAAGGGGAGCTTGGGCTGGGATCTTGGCAWGGAATTCCTGCCTGGGAGGGTGGCGAGGGGCTGGGCTGGAATTGCCAGATTGCCCTGGATCCCTGGGAATGTCCCAGGCCAGGCTGGACATTGGGGTTGAACCCACCTGGGATAGCAGGAAGATTCCCTGGATGGAGCTGGACAGGATTTAATCTCCCTTTTCACCCAGCCCATTCCATAATTCCATTAATTTGCTCTCCATGGGATGCCTTTTCCACCGAAACTACAGAGTTTCCCTCTTTTCCATCCAAAACTTATCCTGGGAGCAGAACCCTTGGAATTCTTACCCCATCAAAGGCAGCATGAATTCCTGCAGGAATTCCTACGTCCTGGGCTGGGACAGCCCCTTGGGATGTGGGAACACCCGCCATGGCATGGTGGGATTTCAGGGATGCATCCCCTGGGAAACCCATTATTCCCAGCACCAATAGATCCCATTCCCAATCCCATTCCCGTTCCCATTCCCAGCACCAACTGATCCCACTGCCAGCACCAATAGATCCCATTCCCATTCCCAGCACCAACTGATCCCATTCCCGATCCCAATCCCATTCCCACCAACAGATCCCATTCCCAGCACTGACTGATCCCAGTCCCATTCCCGATCCCATTCCCACCACCAACAGATCCCATTCCCATTCCCAGCATTGACTGATCCCAATCCCATTCCCAATCCCATTCCCAGCACTGACTGATCCCAGTCCCATTCCCAATCCCGTTCCCATTACCGACAGATCCCATTCCCAGCACTGAGTGATCCCAGTCCCATTCCCAATCCCGTTCCCATTACCGACAGATCCCATTCCCTTTCTCAATCCCATTCCCAGCACCGACTCATTCCGATCCCATTCTCACACCGATCCCATTCCTATTCCCGATCCCATTCCCAATCCCATTCCCAGCACTGACTGATCCCATTCCCGTTCCCATTTCCAATCCCACTCCCAGCACCCACTGATCCCATTCCCATTCCCGATCCTACTCCCATTCCCAGCACCAACTGATCCCATTCCCGATCCCATTCCCATTCCCAATCCCATTCCCAACACTGACTGACCCCAATCCCATTCCCATTCTCAATCCCATTCCCATTACCCACTGATCCCATTCTCGTTCCCATTCCCATTCCCAACAGATCCCATTCCCGATCCCATTCCATTCCCATTCCCAGCACCCATTGATCCCATTCCTGATCCCATTCCCATTCCCGATCCCATTCCCAGCACTGACTGTTCCCATTCCCAATCCCATTCCAATCCCACTCCCAGCACCCACTGATCCCATTCCCCTTCCCGTTCCAGAGCAAAAGCACCTTGAATCCAGACGCCAAGGAGTTTGTTCCCGGTGTGAAGTACTGACCCTYGGGAATGGCCTGGACAGAGACTGTATCCCTGCTCCAGGGAAAAGTTGGGACACAGTGGGGACAGCCCGGAGCGGCTGCCACACCCCGCATCGGATCCGGCTCCAAGTACCTTTATTTTTCCCTATTTTTGGGGTTTTTTTTTTGTTTTCTATCGGCTCCTCCTCACTTTT